CTATTCAGATTTTAAATAAAAAAAAATTTCATAAAAATAACTTTTGCATTTATGTCAGTGGCAGATCCAGGAATTCCATAATGGGGGGCGCAGTAGAAGGCAGAGAGATAGGGGCTGCATTGAAGCCCCCAGCGGGTCCAGGGCAAAGCCCTGGTGAAGGTCCGGGGGCAAATTCTAACAAATAAGAGGTGTTTTTTCCCTTGCTTTTAGGATAATACAAACACCATTTTAAAAGTAGGCTGGGGTATAGACAACTTCCAGCAAATGAAGCATATACGAGGGTTGTTCGGAAAGTTCGTGCACTATATATACCGTCATAACATTTTTACTTAACATCATATTATATCCAAATTTGGAAGAAATATTTCAACAGTAAATTCAAATGATGTGTATCAAAAATGTTTAAAATATCGTGGTTTATTTCAAAGTTATTTGCTTTTCCGAAAATCGGATTGCGGAGCAGATCAAAATTTTGTAATTAACAATCAAGACAGTAAATAATTCCTGAAGTCATATCTTCGGAAAAATTCTACACTTTCAAATTAAGAATTGTTCCATCGTTTCAAATTCCAAATTATGACTTAATATTTTGCTTCGTTGAAAAGAAATCAGTTTCAGAAGACAGGTAGTCCTCATTGAAAAAGGCAAACCAGAAGTCTCTGATGAGACTGTAGCTCTACTGGTCTGTACGTATAACAAAAGAAAAGTAGCACTTGGATTTGAAACTTTGCAACATGCAACAATAAATAGAATTATGTATCTTAATGTAGTCTACGTCTGTGCCAAGTTATATTGAAATCAAATGAAAACTGTAGGAGAAGTAACGTTTTGAAAGTATTTCACAGAAATTTCTATTTATAGTAACCATGACAACACCATTCACCGAAATAAAAAAAAAAGAAATACATATTATGTATCGTAATGTTTTCTAACTGTGTGCCAAATTAGATTGAAATCAAACCAAAATTGTAGGAGGAGTAACGTTTTATGGTCATTTCACAAAAAATTCTATTTTAAGTAACCATGGCAAAATTGTTCATTGAATTCAAAAACCGATGCATTAAATTATGTATCTTAGTATAGTCTTATTGTATGCCTAATTATATTAAAAGCAGACTAAAACTGTAGCAGGAGTAGCGTTTTAAAGTAATTTCACAGAAATTTCTATTTTTAGTAACCATGGCAACACCGTTCATCAAAATCAAAAACCGATGAAGTAACTCATGTATCTTAGTGTAGTCTACTTGTATGCCAAGTTATACTGAAATCAGACAAAACTGTAGGAGGAGTAACGTTTTAAATGAATTTCACAAAAATTTCTATTTTTAGTAACAATGGCAACACCGTTCACCAAAATCAAAAACCAATGCACTAAATTATGTATGATAGTGCAGTCTACTTGTGTGCCAAGTTATATTGAAATCAGATCAAAACTGTAGGAGGAGTAGCATTTTAAAGGAATTTCACAGAAATTTCTATTTTTAGTAACCATGGCAACACCGTCCATCGAAATCAAACACCAATGCACTAAATTATGTATCTTAGTGTGGTCTACATGTGTGCCAAGTTATATTGAGATCGGACCAAAACTGTAGGAGGAGTAGCATCTTAAAGAAATTTCACAGAAATTTCTATTTTTAGCAACCATGGCAACACCGTCCATCGAAATCAAAAACCGATGCACTATATTATGTATCTTAGTGTAGTCTACTTGTGTGCCAAGTTATATTGAAATCAGACCAAAACTGTAGGAGAAGTAGCGTTTTAAAGGAATTTCACAGAAATTTCTATTTTTAGTAGCCATGGCAACAACGTCCATTGAAATCAAAAACCGATGCACTAAGTTATGTATCTTAGTGTAGTCTACTTTTGTGCCAAGTTATATTGAAATCGGTCCAAAACTGTAGGAGGAGTAGCGTTTTGAAAAACTGTTTACAGACAGACGGACAGACAGACAGACGGACGGACGACGGACACCTTACTATCGCATAAGCTCTTCTGGTCTCTGACCAGTAGAGCTAAAAAGATGACGTCATAGAACGTCACGGAGCAGCAGTTAACCATACAATTTTGTGTTGTACTCTGGAAAACTCCAGAAAAAAACTCTGAAAATGCCGGAGGAAGTAGGAAATATGTCAAAAGCGAGCCATGCATATGTGTGTGTATAAGGTAAAAGCCGTATTTGAATGATAGAGTACTCTACTTAGGTGATGGTGATCTGTGAGAAAACAGATTATCTGTAAAAATCTTAACAAAAACATTGAAAAGTTAGTAACGTCATGCTAAGAGTTTGGCGCTTCACAGATGCTGATCTTGTGAAAGCACACTTATGCAGTGAAAAAATATAACACTGAAAAACAAAATATTGCTACTTGAACAATTGTTAGCAAAAGCACAGGAGTTCGCGTACCTATCAATTTTACCGAAATTTTCAGTAAATAAAAAAATATACGTAATACTTATAATAACACAAGTGTTATTGTGACATGACCCGGCGAGTTTTCCTTTGAAGTCAGCCGTACCTTAACTGCGATACAGAACACTTTTAGTGGGCGTTTCTTATGCAAATGAGCAGAAACTGTACTGTATCTGAAAAATATCAACGATACAGTACGGTTTATTTTTAGCGATGACGGAACTGAATCCGTATCTTAAATAATATAGACATAAGAATCAATCAAAACGCAAGATAGCGCTGTTAGTATTTATTCAAAATTTGAGATGAATTAAGAATAGAATTTTACAACGTTAAGTTACCAGTGGCGGATTCAAAAATTTTAGAAAGGAGGGAGTGGGGGCAGTACACAAATGGTTTTCATCGAAAAAAAATGTCCAAACTGGAAAATCGGGAGTTTCGTTGGGGGAGGGGGGTAGATTCATAATCAGGCCTGACACTATATGTGCGTGATCGTTTCGTGTTGATAAATTAATAGTGTACACAAGTTTAGCAAACATAATTTTCGAAAGCCAAAAATGAAAAAAAAAAAAATCAAAAGGGGGGGTACCGACGCTCGCGAGTGAGTGCTGGATATGCCTTGGTTCCTCTACATTTTGTTTCAAACATGAAGGTAAAATGCCCCCTTTCTTACATCTGTTTATTTCAATTTGGAGCCAAGTATTTGTATACACATGTATGACGCCCGGTAGATGACATTTTCGGACATTTCTCTCAGAATATAACCTTTCCGAAACATTTTTGCTTCAAATACATTCCCAATATATGATTCTTATGTATCAAAATGTTTTGCACTAAATTCGTAGCTTAGATTTAAAAAGAAGTCAGCAAGAGCTAAATAGAAAGGAAAAAACCTACGCAATCAAAATAAATTAAATTTTGGGAAAACACATTATATAATGCATCTCATAATTATAATTATTTAAATTGATAGATACCTGCACGTCCACCTCACTCGGCATTTCAGTTGCGACTGATAAAAATGGGGTACTAAATCATCTTTCTGAAAAAATCATCTGATTGGTTGAGAGATATATACCCAAATACACATGTAAATTAGCGAGGTCATAAGAAAGGTCATGTCACAAGTCATTTAGAATACTCGTTTCCCACTGTATCGGAGATACAGGGCGGGGCCCGACTCGAGCTATCGCTCTCGCCTTAAGCCCCGCCCTGTATCTCCGATACAGTAGGAAACTCGTACTCTAAATATAACTTATTAGAGGTATTACGTATTTTTTTTTATTTACTGAAAATTTCGGTTAAATTGATAGGTACGCGAACTCCTGTGGCAAAATAGACTTCAAGTGATAGGGAAACGTTTTTAATGAGTGCACTTGTATTGGGCAATACTATGTGAAATGTATAGGGATAGTATTTTTGAGAACCTCATGTCGGTATGTTTTTGACGTTACAGTGTTGTTGAGTTTGCTCCGTGGTTGCAGAACGTGATTTTAAAATCATATAACATGAAATATATTAAATCACATAGAATGAAACTTCACACTTAAACAAAATAAATATTTTTACATATGATAATGTGCTCATTTAAAATTTCTTGAAGATAGTATTTACGAAGATTGGCATAGTCCACGAACTTTCCGAACAACCCTCGTAAGTAAATATTTTATTTTTGGGTCATTTGAACCTAATTGTTATTCTTTTAAATATTTAAAACTTGCATGTCAGTAGGGGGCATTCTTGTCACCTCGGTTGACACATCTAATTTTTGATGATTTTATCTCTACTCTAAAGTGTTTAATTTAGCAAATAAAATATTTTTTTTAGTTTTCTCTTCTAATGCTATATAAATCATACAAAATAATTCAGAACTAGTATCCTAAAATTCAGGAAACACATGAAATTCCTGATTACACATATTTGCTGTAACATATATATGGGTCAGACTAATATCAGTAAACAACAGAAATGTCATCCAATCACTTTTTTTTTTGATTCTATCAATAACATGGGCCTAGTGAGAGAAGTATAGATAATTATCTTTTTTGTTATAAACTCAAGAATGTTCAACTATATGGTTTGCTGCATACTGATTTTTCTCTAGGTAGAATTGAATTAAAATTTAATTACAAAATTTAAATTTATTATATTTATTAAATATATGCTTTTTAATGTTTTAAATTAGGGGGAATTAAATTAAGTAGTTAATAATTGGTGTATCAAGCCCCTCCCCCTCCCCACCTTAATTTTCAAAATTTCTCCCTAATTTGCTTTGAGGGAGAGCTGAAGACTTCCTGAGTTTTAGGTCTAGTTTAGACCTTGACTAAAGCTAGATCTATTTCTTGTTATATGTGTTCAATAGACATTGAATCTTCAATTCCCAACCCCACTACCATTAAAAAAAAATGTACCTATGTACCCTATTTTAAAATTCCATGTAATAGGATCAAAACACACTTTTTTTTGGCCTAATCTAAATGCAGAGTGTGAGGGATGATCGATGGGAGGACAGAAGGATGGATCATGGAATGACAGAAGACTGACATGACAAACACTATAAGCCTCAGCCATAAAAAACTTCAATCCTCTTTACCAAAAGACACTAGAACATTTGGTTCAGAGTGCTTAAAACAACATTACCTGAGCCAACTATTCAATCCAAACATTCGAGCAAAGGACTCAAACAACGTCTGCAAGTGACTTTCATGTAAATCACATCCATTTTCTCGCCTTTTCAGCAACAGATACAACAGACTTACAAAATTGTGTGCTTCATTATGGAATCTGCAATTATGTACAGAAACATAGGTAATCAAAGATTACAATGCTCACATTGACAAATGTTATCAACAAGTAATGCAGAATTTGGTAGTTATTTTCAGTGAAACTCCTTTTGTATTATTCAGGATCATTTTGTAGTGGATCAGCTCTAATTTACTACATTGTGGAAATGACATTCTAAGACCAAAAATTACAATTCAGAGACATGACTTCATTCTGTTGATGTAATGTAAACAAACCGAAGCACCAATACACAATAACATTTTAGAATTTCTTGTCAAAATTATGCCGATAAGGCTAAAAAAAAAATATGTGCATTTCTGGTAACCAAATCAACACTAATTTTCACCCACCAACTCTACTACTTCTTGTTTCAAATCTGGATTTTGAACTGCATGTACTTTTGTTAACTTAGTAGTTAGTAGTACAGTTTTCTCATAGTGCAGTCAACAAAATGAATGTCTAAATCAGACACAGTCAAACTGTAAAAACGTGTCTATTCAAGTGTTTATAAAGAGTACACTTGTTTTGTTGTATATGCTTATTCAAATATGTATATGTGTATATATATAAATGACAAAAAAAAGCACATTAAACAATTAAGTGATACTTTCAAAATAAAAAGTAAAGTTAAACAAGAGGCCCAGCGGCCACATCGCTCACCTGAGCACTGAAGCTAGGAAAAAAGAAAAAATTGGTTTAGTATTGAAAAGCTTAAATGCATAAGTGGTCCCAACCTACCCCTAAAAGGGAGTGGGGGTATGAATTAAACAAAATTAAATCTACACTTACTAAGGATGCTTACATAATTTTTTGACTGTGACATTTTTCTCTACAAGTTTGAACTTTCATTGTGGCCCCACCCTACCCCTGGAGGATATCATTTGAACAATCTTGAATCTACACTATCTGAGGATGCTTCCACATAAATATGACAAACAGTGACTTTGCTGTTCTTGAGAAGATTTTTAAAGATTTTTCCTATATATTCCTATGTAAAATTTTGATCCTTCATTGTGGCCCCACCCTACCCCCCGTGGTCATGATTTGAACAAACTTGAATCTACACCACCTGAGGATGCTTCCACATAAATATGACCAATCATAGCTTTGCTGTTCTTGAGAAGAAGATTTTTGAAGATTTTTCCTATATATAATTATTCCTATGTAAAACTTTGATCGTCCATTGTGGCCCCACCCTACCCCCGGGGGTCATGATTTGAACAAACTTGAACCAACACCACCTGAGGATGCTTCCACATAAATATTACCAATCATTGCTTTGCTGTTCTTGAGAAAAAGATTTTTGAAGATTTTTTCCTATATACACCTATGCTATACTTTGATCGTCCATTGTGGCCCCACCCTACCCCCGGGGGTCATGATTTCAACAAACTTGAATCTACACTACCTGACAATGATTCCACATGAATTTCATCTTTCCTGGACCATTGGTTCTTGAGGAGAAGATTTTTCAATAATGCCATTAATTTTTTGCTATTTCGTAACCATCTCCCCTTGGAGGAGGGCGTGGCCCTTCATTTGAACAAACTTGAATCCCCTTCACCCAACGATATTTTGTGCCAAGTTTGATTGAAATTGGCCCAGTAGTTCTGGAGAAGATTAGATGAAAATGTGAAAAGTTTACGACAACGACAACAACATCGCCAGCGACAACGCCGACGACAACAACGACAGACAACGGACAAATTTCGATCAGAAAAGCTAACTTGAGCCTTTGGCTCAGGTGAGCTAAAAAGTTATCACCTACCTGACCTACCTAAACCCTAATTTTGACATATATGTTACTGGAAAAACACTTTTTTATTTTACCTATACCTTTTTGACCTTTTTATCATCTGTAGTTGTAAAATATGGGAAAAGCAATGCAAATAAATTTTTTCAACGATGAATGGTGCAACAGCAGACACAATCCTCTGAGATACTCAAGGAAAATAAAAGGGGCATGATTCTAGGACCATAACTAATTCAGGGCCTCCGAAAATAAATCTTTATATATAATGTTGCTATTGCAGGAGACACAAGATTCCATCTTTTTATCAGAAAAGCTCCCTTGAGCCTTTAACTTCATTATAGTTATGACTAGTTATGTCTTAAGTTTTTAATGTTACAATTTATATAAATAAATAAAATATACCTGTAAAACCAGATCATATGGTTTTCTGGTACCCATGTTGGGATAAATGAGATCTTTTCATCATCATGAGGAGCCATCTCCCACAAGTCTTCAGATGAAAGTTCAGAAAATGAAGTATATGTGTGTTGCAAGTATTTCAAACGAGTCATCAAAGGACTTTTCAAAACGTATTTCTTCAGCTCACGTATCATTTCATTTTCCTCGTGATTCTCAATTTCTCCACTTTGAAGAAAATCAAGAGGCTTCAAGTTTGGTACAAACATAATAGATATATTGAGATTTTCAATATGTTTTCTTTCCCACTTGCTCAGTTGTGGTGGAAGGTCGATCGAAGAAAATTTGTGCGTTTGTTTTCTATGTCTTATCTCAATTTGATCTGGCGAATCTTCAGATTCTGTAGTTAAACTGTCTGTGCCTGTTTCACACTGACATGTTACTTTTAATGGGCTGCATTCTGCTCTTTCAGAGCTACGACTCTCTTCAGTTGCATCACTTGTGTTAGACCGAGAACATTTAAAAGACACCAAATCATAAATTTCTGATGATTCCGATTCGCTATGCCGTCGTTTTCGATCTGATACTTTGTCCAGTTGTTCTGTGTCAACATCATCATCAGTGGAAACTTTAATCATTTGGTCTGAATGAGTGTCAGTCTCAATAACTGTATTCACTACTTCAGTATTGTTTTCAATTTTTGGCAAGCGGTAAATCTAGTCTTCCCGACTCCCGACGGTCCCGGATTTTGTTTTTTTGGCGATTTCTTTTTTATTGGTGCACAGAAATTCTTCAAACTTTTCAGGCACCTTTTCTAAGTTTAAATGAATTCATTAATACATAAAAACCTTAACAATTTTACGTATTTAATACTGAATCAGCAGTATCACCTGCCAAAAAAGCGGTGCCTGAAAAGTTTGAAGAATTTCTGTGCACCGATAAAAAAGAAATCGCCAAAAACCAAAATCCGGGACAGTCGGGAGTCGGGAAGACTAGATTTACTAGATTTACCGCTTACCGCCATGTTGGATGCGTAGCACTGGTTCTCTGCCCTTGATTCCAGTCGCTGCCACTAGGAATTGGTTTTTTAGGGCGCTCGCGCCTGTTAACCAATGTCAGGGTACCAGTCTAGTTGGATGCGGTAACGAGTCGTTTCGCCCCCTATATTGACGATTCGCGCCCAAACCATCTGCTAAGATGTTTCGCAATTCTTCGCTAGCGAAGAGTTTCTGATCTACTATTCTGTTTATTATTTAAATTTATATTTAAAAAAAAAAAAAAAAAAAAAAAACAATATCCACATGTAGATATGCAGAGACGCGGAATTTTTTTTTTTTTTACAGGGGGTCCACACCTGTGTAGTCAAACATTTCCAACCTAGAAATTTCTTGAAAAGGAAAAAAAAAATTTAAAAATAAATTAATAAAATCGTTTAATCATCTCCATACGTCTGTGAAAAACCTGGTGGTGGTTTTGTGGTGGTGCTGGGGGTCCTAAATAATTTTTATTTGGGGTCCGGACCCCCCCCCCCCTCCCCAATGATCCGTGCAGAATGAATCACTAAAGCATATATTATATTTATAACAGAATCAATATGATATTAATTAAAACTTTGTCTTCTTTTGTTCATTTTACAGTACTATGATCATAATACATTGTATGTCTATTTTCATGATTTCGAAAGATAAAAAAGAAAGAAAAAAATGATAACAAACAACGATCTGCAGACTGTTACCCTCACAACGTCAGGAGTCCTCTTTCAACTCTTGGCCTTGAGAATGGCAGACTATATATGTGTCAAATATATTTCTGTATGTTGCCCCCCATCCCATCCCACCCCACCCTCCCCCACCCCTAATAAGCCTTCCCGAACTTGGAAATATATATTCTAACGGACCCGAATATACATGTGTATGTTTTATTACTATATAAGTTATATCCAATTTAAAAAGTCCTCTTTTTAAAAATCATATTGCAGTCTCTAAGGAGCACTGTGTGTAATATACATGCGTATGGTTAGGTACATGTAGTTTTGGTGATTAAGGTTGATTGATTGATTGATTGTGTGCTGTTTTACGTCCAATTCAAGAACTTTTCACTCATATAAAGACGTCACCACATACATGTACATGAATTAAGGGCCTAAAATTTAGACCTTTACTCAAATGGAGCCATTGAGCATTGAGGTTTTTAAAGATCTCATCCCAAACACGGGTACTTGTGGACAGGAACCCCCCTCCCCCCCCCCCCCCCCGGAATATTAAAAAAAAATTATGTCTTTTTTTTTTCATAAACTATTCTTCTAGTACACATTTACAATGTATTCCATATGAAAAATCCAAAAAATAACGCAGAATTAACGTTTTACTAAAAAATCATACCCGCTTTGGTTTTAAGGTCTCATCAGCAACTTTCCTTACTTCAAGATACCGAGAGCTTGGCAAAGGAACTGTTGCTACCTATTTTTTTATCGACTTTGGTCAGTCGCGACCAGAGTTATGACTGGTCGACAGAGGATGCTTATTGCGAACAAACCCCTGATGTCCGTATTTGATTCGCTTTCAATTTGTATTGTTTAATATGACTTTTGAGCTTGATTACTGTTCGTTATCTTTATATTTCATGTATGTTTGTATAATACTAACTTGAATGTAATTTGTTTCTCTTAGCTTATTCTGTATTGTATTTGCATCTTCAAGTTATCAAGCCCCATGGAAGTTTGTTAAACCAGCATATTACATGCTAATGCATATCCCTAAGACCATAAAATGTTTTTTTTTTTTTTTTTTTTTTTTTTTTTTTTTTTTGTGATTTATTTTCTTTCTTACAGAAATTTGAAAATGGCATATAATATATATTTTTAAAAAGATTTTGGAAAGAATGTTTAACAGCGATCTTATAATCGTAAACATTACTTTGGCCAGATTTCAGGAACAGATTAAAGGCAATAGACGATTAAGGCTATAAACTAAACAACTAAACTGTATGACAAAAAGATGGCTTCACTTTTTTCATCGTAACTTTCCTTATTTATGAAGTAATATTCCTCACCTGCATATGATGTTTGTGTCTCCCAACCACTCAGTAATTCGATGTACTAGAGCACGCTCTTAGTCAATTTTTCAATAGAAGAAGCTAGGCAACTGATAAATAAGTTGATGCTATAGGGATTTCAACAGCGTTGTTTAAAGTCAGCATTTCGTAAATTCTATGATCGTTATAATAGCTCTTGTAAGCAAAAACAACTGATCATTTGGTCGTATTTTGACTGATATTTTCTATATCACTTTATAGGCCTTTGTTTTGAACTTGATTTAATTACGGATAAGTCCGTCGACCTGACCGATACATTGGGCTCACAGCGGGAACTCCTCTCAGGCACCTGATCCAATCTTATCTATTTCCATGGCTCCTTGTTTTATGCCGTTATTTTTTACATATCTCATCATAAGTTCTTTTTTAAAAATAATATAACTGTAAAAGTTTTACAAAAAATCTACAATATGCCCTGAGAATCTAATTATAATTACATGTAATTTTGATGAACTCAAATTCGAAGGAGTGCCTAGATTTGTAACATAAAAATTGAGAAACATATATTTTGTAAATCATGTAAATGTTGCATTCAGATCTGTATGTTTCAATACATGGATAGGATGTTATTCATTCATATAATGGGCTTTTCTGTATTGATTTAATATATCAATGCCGAAAACTGACATGTAAGTTCACAAATGTATATCATTTGGTTTTAATTACACTTTCTCATTTGAACGACATTCCCCAACGCCTCTCTCTAGTCTGAAAGCATGAACAATTGTATCAAATGGAAATATTATTATCAATTCGCGTGTATCTTTCACCTGCGCTTACTTTCAGCATGCAAATTGTTTTTCCTAAACATTTCATTTCTTTAGTTACGAACTTACGATGAATATCAAAACAACATTTTTGTTCTTTCTGCTTTCTGGAACTCTACCCACTTCATTTGCGTAAGATAATTTATGCTCTACGTGCAAACTTAATGTGACGTACTCGACATTAATCAAAGAATTATTCTGATGTTTAATTTTTACAGAGGTTGTAATAAACGGACAGGAGTATATTCATATTATTGTTATGGCACTTATTACTATACGACGAAACATAGAAAAACCTGTGGCTGGTGGTGGGGTAAGAAAAGATGCTCCTATTACAAGTAAGATAATTTTCCTTATTGATTTCTTTACTGTTCCATGGAGTGCAGTTTCATGAATTAAAAAAGTTTATATTTATTGTGCATAATGAATGTTTTGTAAAACCAAATTCAGTTGCAAGGTGTATCAAAATTAAGTAGAAATGTTTTTCATTAAATCTTGTCATTTGAATAGAAACAATTTTTTTCCCAGGTATTTTACTCAAGTTAGGACATTTTACAACATTCAAAGTAGAGTAAGAGTAATTACGACAAGTATTTGTTTCCTCTTTGACTGAGATAATATGAAACAATCAAAGAAAAACAATACATGTCATAATTAATTCTTATTTCAATACGAAATAAACATATTTTTTAAATTAAAAGATTTTTTTTTTTTTTTTTTTTTTTTTTTTTTACACAAAAGATAATACAGTCATTCAAATCCCATTAAATTTAAAAGCCTTTGTCTTCTAGAAATTTGAACATTGAAATAATTTTAATTCTCAAGAAAATAAATATTTTTAGATTGTCTTCCATACCATTTTTTGAAAGAAATTAAGTGATTACTTTCTTAAATGTTTCATAGGCAACAACAATAAATCAAACTAACAACTGTTACAATAAATTCCATGCTTTTTCCTTTACAAATGTAGTTTAATTTAGAAGCTTGTTCATTGTAAAGTATGCATAATTGAAATCACAAGAATTGAAGAACATTTTTTCAATACATATACTTGTATTTTTTCTAAGATTTGTTTTTAACATAATCCATACCAAAAATCCAATGTAACCACTCATAATTAAATACAATAAATGTCATATACGGTTACATGTGTGTGAAATCAATTCGTGTATTGTACTATTTTTCCAGAATATATTTCAGAGTTGTTCCACAAATTATAGAAAACATTGTAATTACATTTCACAAAACAATTCTGCAAAACGTTAAAAATAAAACCTAAGGATGAAAGTAAAGTAAGATGTGCTGGGTAGCTATCCACAGGTAAATAAGATGTGCTGGGTAGCTATCCACAGGTTCTTGTGGACGAAGTTTTAAAAATTGTTCCGATCAATGAGGGGAACAAAAAAAAATAAGTAATTGTATTGTAGTGTATTGTAGTGAAATGGGTTAAGATAACCAAAATTTAAGTGATCGATCTCAAAAACATAAAGGACATAACACATGGACTCCTGGAAATTACAGAGATGGGATCAAGCGCCTAGGAGGAGTAAGCATCCCCTGTTGACCGATCGCACATGCCGTTAGCACTATGTATTTTTTTTTTTTTATTGAAAAAGCAATCGTTCTTGATACCAAAACGCCTATATTTTCTATTTGCCATGAGGAATGGTTTGCATAAAGTGTAGAAAACTTATAGTTATTGACTTTTGAAAATTTTTGTGCTTTTAATTTTCACTAAAAAGTTCTTTGGAAATTTGAGAATCCACATTTTATTTACACGACTTCTAGAATATGCTATAAAACAGTACCTCTGAATTTTAAAGTAGTCATTTTTGTGAGGCGTAAAGATGATGGTAGAGTATTTGTTGAACCCGGCAATTTATCTGAATAGGATTTTTAGGAATCCTGTATAGGTAGGGTAGATCGAATTCACCTTTGTTGACAGATTGTTAAAAGTCTTAAAGACCGAAATGCGATTTTCGAGAATTTCATTCT